AAAAGTTTTATTTGCATTTATTATTACTGTTGCGTAATTCATAATCATATTTGTATGAACAAAAGAGGAAAGGGTGTATACTTCAATGAGATTCATCGAGGTGTATACTTCAATGAGATTCATCGAGGTGTATACTTCAATGAGATTCATCGAGGTGTATACTTCAATGAGATTTATTCGATTATACATCGTCTATACAATATTGCAGTCTCTAAAACTCTAAATCGCCCGATCAAACAATTGTGAATGAATTAAACAGATACTATCAATGACTTTGTCTAAATATTCGTACCAAATGCTCTCAAATCTAATAACAAAAAAGCCATAACTGCCATCTTAAAATACACCTGTGACGTACATCTTTTGTTTAAACTCTCCATTATTTTTCAGGAATGGAGAGTTATTTTGTATTGTTCATCTTCATTCATCCGGACGTTTTTCCCTTTGGATATTTCCATGGGCAATTTCTTAAAATGTGTTCACCCACTGAAATAATTCTAAAGGACGTAACGCGATATCGAATGAAAATGAAAACTTATTAAAACGGCTGATACTGGTTTTTTTTTAGGTGGGATCGTAGTAATACAATGAACACTAAATATCTCATTTTTAACAAACATCTTTTATTCTTGAGTCGTAATTCCATCGCATAAAATATAGTATCGAGTGCGCTAAAACCAAACAACACTATCCGAAATGTGTTTTCCGATGCAAATCTCGGCTGAATTTCTGTCACAGATAGTATACAAGCGGGTAAAAACGAATATCATTCATTGCGTGCCATTCCTCTTCTGTGCATCTACAAAATATTAACTGCGCTTACTCAGTTGAATTATGTTTTAATATTGAACACATTAACATTATTCAATAACGAAAAGTAGAGAAAAACTATATTTCACTAAGTCTTAATGATTTCTTTTTTAATTTTATCGTTTAAAATCCTTCTCCTTGAAATTTGAAATATTGTATTTTGATTTTGTACAGCAAAAATCGTTTGTTGCATTTTAATATATACATTAATAACAAAAGAGTTACTATGATAGTTTCTACGATAATATTGTGGTTTAATAGAATAAATATTTTAAGAAAATGAAATGATCAAAATGGACAAAATGCGGTGTATTATTTAAATGCTCGTTGTTATATACAATTTAAATATAGTACTAATGATTATACAATTTAAGGGGGTATGGATAAAATTTGAATGAGGTTTCTATTAAATAGTGGGCGCGGTTTTTATTCAATTTTTGACAGTAACGCGTAACATAATAAAATTATTTCAGTTGTTTTTATATGTCCAGTGGAAAATATTACAGATATATCGGCATTGCAAATGACGTAGTTTTTCACTTTAGTTAAAGACATACAAATCGGAATCAAGAAATGTTTTTATTCATGTGGATTTTTTAAAAACCTTTTTGATTCCTATCTGATAATAGGGAAGAATGAAAAATACTTCTAAGTTGCCTGGATTACTATTTAAGACTCATCTAAAAAATGCATACAATTTAATATAAAATAATTGCATTTGGTATAATTATATAAAAGAAATGGGTGTTTTTAATTGACCAAGCTATTTGTCCTCGGTCAGTAATAATGGCCTCGGAGGCTGTAATGTCCCTCGGCGTTGCCTCGTGCCATTACATACATCCTCGACCATAATAACAGGCGTTGTACATATAGCAGGAACATTATCAAAACACTCATTAATTAATACAATAGTAATACTAGTAGGAGGTATAGCTAGCTATAAGACCAGGAGTTACCCACAAGTTTCTTGGGAACATGGCTATCCAAAGTCAGGAATATGACAGTTGTTTTTCCACTCGTTGGTTGTACGAGTCGAGCTTTTGGTATTTTCATTTTTTATGGACTTCCCCTTTTTGAATTTACCGTGGAGTTCGGTATCTTTGTTACTAAATTTTTCACAACTCTCAACATCTATTGCTTCACGCTCAACATCTACTCCATCACTCTCAACATCTATTGCATCACTCTCAACATTTATTGCATCACTCTCAACATCTATTGCATCACTCTAAACATCTATTGCATCACTCTCAGCATCTATTGCATCACTCTCAACATCTATTCCATCACGTTCAACATCTATTGCTCTGTTTCTGTTGTTTTACAAAGTTTAATATTATACTGTTGTCAATACCATTTTAAACAATCAATAGTCCTTTTCTAATATAGAAATTGCATGCACTTTTAAGAGATTAAAGAGGTTTTTAAGGACAGTTTGTTAATAAACATGCTTCGACAGAATATCAAATGGAAGAAAGCAAAAAAAAAATGTATTTCTTGACATTTGCAATTCACCCCTTTTATCTCTGTCAATTTTAAAACAACTTGTAGGCTGAAATCACATTATATTGAAAATGGCAATTAGATATGAAAATGAAACTTTTATTTTATTACGTAATGTTGTAAAAGACGTGGAACTCAAACTAACATGATAAGTCACGTGTGTTTACAATTATTTGTTAAGTAACTGATTTGGTCTGATATGTTTCAATTTCAAATGCTGTTATCGCTAAATCATGTTAATACGTTAATAAGATAAATTTCACCGTAAACCAGTCGTTAAACTGTTTCTATGGACCATAGATAAACGTACGCGGGGTTATGTCAGAAAGTATACAATAAAAAATGATAAATGGCAAATATCAATCAATATATTCAAATATTTCTGGAACTAAATTGTCTGGTGTAGTGTCAATAAAAATGTTCATGGTGTGAACAGGTCAAATGTTTAATTTGACAGGCGAAATTTGTTTATCTTGGAAATATTTTTGTCAGGAGAATATGGAAATAGAAGTGCTAATAAAATCCACTTTGATCAAGTTTTGTTGACTAAAGCATCTAATATTTTATTCATTAAAGGATAAACTGCCTGAAACCAACATCTAAAAATATTAAATCACAAAAATAGAATTTTTCCCTGCATATATGCATTGTGCATGGAAATGAATACCAGCTTACACATCCATCATCCATCTATTGAACTTTAGATATAAGACTTAAAGTGAATTAACGCAAGGATTTTGTCTGAAGTGTAGATACAGGGTATCAATTTAGTTACTCAAATCAATGTTATTTTCAAACATTGAATAAAGAAGCATTGTATGTTCTCAAATCGCATGTAATTCCGTTTGTTTGCATATAACCCAATTCCAAGGATAACATATATACATGTATATGAAAAATATAACATCACGCTTAAAAATCCCACCGAGAGTTCATCGTCTTAGTACTAGATAGCTCCCCATGTTGTTCTGTTAGCCGGCCTATTTTCTTATGGTAAAATTAAACGAAGACTAATTGACATGTGTGCTATCAAAACTGATTTTATTTACACAAAAATAACTGCAAAAAGTAAAAAAACAAAAATAACCAAACTCCAAGGAAAATTCAAAACGGAAAGTCTCATATCAGTAAATGTCAAAATCAAAACTCAAACACATCAAATGGAAAACAACTGTCACATTCCTGACTTGGTACAGGCATTTCCTTATACAACTGTCACATTCTTGACTTGGTACAGGCATTTCCTTATACAACTGTCACATTCCTGACTTGGTACAGACATTTCCTTATACAACTGTCACATTCCTGACTTGGTACAGACATTTCCTTATACAACTGTCACATTCCTGACTTGGTACAGACATTTCCTTATACAACTGTCACATTCCTGACTTGGTACAGGCATTTCCTTATACAACTGTCACATTCCTGACTTGGTACAGGCATTTCCTTATACAACTGTCACACTCTTGACTTGGTACAGGCATTTCCTTATACAACTGTCACATTCCTGACTTGGTACAGGCATTTCCTTATACAACTGTCACACTCTTGACTTGGTACAGGCATTTCCTTATACAACTGTCACATTCCTGACTTGGTACAGGCATTTCCTTATACAACTGTCACATTCCTGACTTGGTACAGGCATTTCCTTATACAACTGTCACATTCCTGACTTGGTACAGGCATCTCCTTATACAACTGTCACATTCCTGACTTGGTACAGGCATCTCCTTATACAACTGTCACATTCCTGACTTGGTACAGGCATCTCCTTATACAACTGTCACATTCCTGACTTGGTACAGGCATTTCCTTATACAACTGTCACATTCCTGACTTGGTACAGGCATTTCCTTATACAACTGTCACATTCCTGACTTGGTACAGGCATTTCCTTATACAACTGTCACATTCTTGACTTGGTACAGGCATTTCCTTATACAACTGTCACATTCTTGACTTGGTACAGGCATTTCCTTATACAACTGTCACATTCCTGACTTGGTACAGGCATTTCCTTATACAACTGTCACATTCCTGACTTGGTACAGGCATTTCCTTATACAACTGTCACATTCCTGACTTGGTACAGGCATTTCCTTATACAACTGTCACATTCCTGACTTGGTACAGGCATTTCCTTATACAACTGTCACATTCCTGACTTGGTACAGGCATTTCCTTATACAACTGTCACATTCCTGACTTGGTACAGGCATTTCCTTATACAACTGTCACATTCTTGACTTGGTACAGGCATTTCCTTATGCAACTGTCACATATTAAAACGAATGACAATGAGACTATATAGTGTGAAGCCTTAATCTCGGTCAACCTACTTTGCAGTACTACGTATTTGATTTGTTATTTAATATTTTTACATTCTAAATATTTTTACATTCTAAATATTTTTACATTTTGGCATTGGATTTTAGGCTAATAACTATCAATCCATCGTTATAAAACGTTGACCTTGAAGTCATAATTGCATACTTTTAGAACCTTTTTTTTCTGTAACATAAGGGACCATTAATGCATTTCATTTCAGGCAAACTGTGCAATAGGTCAATATATAACACGATCAACAATATTCATGCATATGATATTAACAGTTGGTATACATAATATTTTTATAGCTTACCTTTCATTTTTTTCAGATATGTATTTTGTGAATATTTAGAATGACATCATCGAGTAAGCCAAATGAAAACCTGACAATTCAGATACCAAAGACAGTAGTAGAAACAGATTTAGACGTGATAGAAAACGGAGGTATAAGTCCTCAGTTATCAATCCGAACAGAAGATGACGCCTGTTCGGAAATAATTCGCATTGATCCTCAAACTCCAGATGAGAGACCTTCGGCTCTAGGAAGATTTGTTCAGACACTTCAGGTTAGTCGTTAGTGTTGTGTTGGATGCGACTGTCATACAAGTGAAAGGTTCCTACTTACCCCTTATCCATCTAGACCACACTTCGTAAGATTAAAACACGCCACAAAAAAACCTTCAGAGTGCAAAATCTGCAGTTTTGATTATAATTATGAAAAATCTGCAGTTATGTTAATGTTAATCAAAATCAACTAAATGAATAAATTTAAACTTTTGTTTTATAAGGTATCGTTTGTGGTTCGTGCTTTCACATATTTACAGGTTTTGCTCTTTAAACAAACCACAGTTTATTTCATGCGCGTTTAAAAGTAATATAAACTGTAAGGTGCACAACCATCCTTAGTCATGTTCGTATTCAAAACAATATTTAAGTGACAATCCAATCTGACTTTGTTTATTTAGATGTAAGCGTCATATAAAGACGCATTTGGGGTTTATATTTGTGCGTAGTTAATCCCCGAACTTTAAAGTGCACTTGGTTACATGTCCTCAAGATCATTCAAGCATTAAAAAGGATAATAAAGTGCATTTCTTGTGAAGTAAAGTGGCCTTTATGACTTCCGTTTGCTAAAAAAAAATTATAAATTAAATACGGCTGCAAAAATATGAGAAAAAAATAGAAATACAATGCAATACATAGTACTTAAAAGGGGGGTCTGTATGGGGGTCATTCTTTTCTATACTCTTGAATTATTCAGGTCATTTTTTTTTTTTTTTATCTTTTTGCCTATTATTCTCTATTCTTAAATATAGACTCTGTTATCCTCAATTTTATTTTTTGGACCATTTTTCTGTAGTATCAGCCCATGATTCCCTGTTCTGTAAATCCCATTCAGATCCTTCTTAAGCAGTTAATAATATCAACACCTATTGCACTAAAATACAGAGCTTCGATTCTTTATTGAAGTCTACCATGCAGTAATAAGAACATGTTAAGGGATTAACTTTGTATACAGAAGAAGTTTATTTTATGCAAATTTACCTGTTCACTTAAGAACTACTGCATATTAAATCATGTCAAATCATAGTTGACTTCATACAGAGAATTATGAACGTGCATTTATTTAATGCAAGATATTCCAATAACATTGACTTCGTGGAGGGAATCTTCATTGCACTGACGACAAAATATGATTACACATCAAAATAGTTACACACAACTTACAAATTTTGGCTACAAATAATCTTTTTGAAAAAGAAATAAAATTCACAAAACTAGCAAAAAGACTTACAAATATTTCTTACACAGCATTCCAATTTGTGGTTTCTGGGACACTTTACCAGAGCTTTCTCGAAAAGTGACGCTTTAACGTAAATTTTTCTTGTGGCATCATATTTTTTTCTTTTGACGTCACTGTCTAAACAGCAGCATTTTATCTATATTTGAAAAAACAAGTGAAACAATAAATGTGAAGGAAGGAGATGGGCTGGTAGTTATGACTTGGTATTTTGATTGCCAAAGAAAGAAAAGATCATTTTGAATTGTTTCACATTTTTGTCTTGCCGTGGCCTTTTATAGCTATCTTTGCAGTATAGGTTTTGTTCATTGTTAAAGGTCGTACAGTTCCCTATACCGGTATTGGAGGGTCTGGATTTGGGGGGGGGGGGGGGGGGGTTCCTCCATTTCTGTATTCTTTATATTTTAAGCCATTTTTCTCTATACTTTATTTTCTCGCCCTTTATTGTCATTATTCTCTATTCTGTGAACCCCATCCAGACCCTCATATTTGTTTTATACTATTCCTTTGGTTTCTGGTTGATAGTTGTTTTAATCTAGAAATCTATTTCCTATTTTTTGTTGTTGTTGGGTTGTTCTTTAGTGGATATAACTTGTTTTAACATGATAAAGGCGTTGCATTTACTAATCAGTTGTGAACCTTTTAAATGGATAAGGTTTTGGAGAACTGAAACCAGATCTATGCCAAGCTGGAATATTTTTCTCCTTAGAGGTCGCTCGTAAGCAAGTGGTAAATTATAGATAAATATTTTCAAGAACATACTACACTATAATCCTGCATTACAGATTTTCATTTGCTTAGGGAATTTCATTTAGTATAGAAATCCACTAGTGTTTAAACAAAAGCCAGAAACTAATTTAATATTAACCTATTAAATAATCCTCAAACAAAGCAATATGCTCTGAAACGTTAATAATGTACTCTGTGAAAAGCAGCATTTACAATGATTTTATAACTATTAAACTCTCTTAACCTATCCCACAGGGCAAACTTTTCAAACACACATGCTTTATTAGAGAACAGTTTTTGTTCAAATATTGTTTCATATTGCTTGCGCGAGTTTGTTATTGACCTTTGATGGAAAATATGTTGTATTGTCTTTACATTCAAGGACAATATGCTGACAAATATGTTAAATGAATGAGAACGTTCCGAACACATCTTTACATTTAAGGACAATATGCTGACAAATAAGTTAAATGAAACAGAACGTTCCGAACATATCTTTACATTCAAGGACAATATGCTGACAAATATGTTTAAATGAAACAGAACGTTCCAAACATATCTTTGCATTTAAGGACAGTATGCTGAAAAATATGTTTAGATGAAACAGAACGTTCCGATATGTTAAAATGAAACAGAACGTTCCGAATATGTTAAAATGAAACAGAACGTTCCGAACAGTTGATTCAATTAAGATATCACTGAAATTAGTTATTTCAGAACCATCAGGAAATCCGATGCCATTTGATTGTTAAGCGTGTTAATAAATTCCATTTCTTGTGCTTAACTTTCAATATGTCGAGTTCCTTTTTATTATCAAGATGAAGAATTACAATTAGTTACAATTAATGTTGATATTTTTTAAGGAATGAAAAGTATGTTCATTGGTGTGAATAAGTTCGTGTTTGGTCTATAAATAGCACTGTACCTTACCCTAATAATTTAGTCGTTATATATGTTGGTGCTACGATGGCAAGAGATCGATTACGGGGAACCGAATTACTCAGATTACGTTATTAGCAGGATTTGATTCCTAAAATTCTTTGATTTTAGAGAGTTAAGCAAATAAAACAAAGTATCCGATAAATCGACCAATAACATACGACATCTGTTTTTTTATTTACTTTTTTTAAATAAATGGATGTTGTTAAATTTGTTGACAGGAAGCTTAACAATTAGGCATACAATGTTCTTTTCGAATATACTGCAGATCAATGCTAATTTTCTCATATGGATATCACAATTAGGGTGAAAAGGTAAACCTTAATCAGAACATACTCAGTCTGTTGCAGATAATTCTTATTTTGTACTTTTGCCTTGATTACTCTTCCGTTAGTTCATTCTTGACGAAACAAATAGGTTATAACATAAAAAAGGAAGAAAACTAATTAAGGTTACAGCTGTTTACAATCAAGTTGTATCGGCCCAAACCTATATGCACTTGAAAGATCATCAAGGGTCAGTGAAGCCCCAATAACGTGTATGAAATATCGGTGAAGACATGAATCATAATCCGGAAATATTTGGCTCTATCAAAATGCATAAATGTATGAATTTTTCCCACTTTTAATTATCTCTCTTCCAAGATGTGTAAGGATACTTGATCGAATCTTTAGATAAAGCAAATTGTTACCAGCAAGAGGCAACAAATAGTTTAATCTATATTCAAATACAATGCCGGAATTAGTTAAAGTTTTGCCGACATTTCATTCTTACAATAGTTAAGAAATTACCTTTCATCATTTCAATAGTTGGCACCATTGTGTCAAACTGTGTTAATCATGAGGAAGTCAGACCGAGGCTTACTTATGGAGTTGGTTTTATGAAAGTCTAGGCCATGTGCATGGCTTAATATTTATGCTTGGGTTTTCTTAAAAATATAAGCTGCACACAGCTAATAATATGATGTTAACTTATTTACCAAAGTTGCACTTACACATTAACATGTCCCTGTTGAGGGAATCTGCCATGTTGTAAAACATACGATTTTCCGCAAATTTGCATATCTGATTTCCAAATAGAACCGTGAAAATAATAAGACCGTCCTCTTTCCCAGGTTACACCTGGTCTCATATCAAAGGCAGATTAGAAATTCCTGCAGTTCTGTCGTTGTGATACAGCGTAGAGATATCAACCCAATTGAGGCATCCTGACATAAAAATCAAACATGACAGTATATACAACAGAATGAGAACCTTGCAAAATAAACCCTCTTATCTAATTTCATAGTGTCAAAAGTTCAATAATTTGAAGTAATGAATTGTTTAAAAGTTTTTTTTTCTGATTTACTTGTAGATTGTAATAATGGTTAAAAAAATCGTTTTTATGAATAACTTCTCATGCAATATCGTCATATATTTTTGAAAATTGCTGTCCTTTATGCTCTCTTTAAACGGTGACTCAGTTTGCCATATACTTTCGTACGTATACTGTATGGTGCAAGAAAAGTCAACAGCGATCGTAATAATAAGGGGGCCTCAGTGGCTCAGTGGTCTAAGTAGTTCAACTACTGTAATCACTAGCCTGTCAACACTGAGGTTGTGAGTTCGAACCTCGCTCGTGCCGGTGCACGCGACTTCAATCATGATTGACTAGGATTGTCAGTTTTCATACCGAAGGTCGGTGGTTTTCTCCGGGGACTCCGGTTTCCTCCACCAATAAAGACTGACCGCCACGAAATAGCACAATAGTGTTGAAAGTGGTGAAAAACACACATCAATCAATCAATCGTAATAATAAGTTAAGACCATGTTCTTTTTGTAAAAGAATAAATGGAAAAAGTGCTGAAATGCCAAAATGTCAGGTTTCGTTAAAACAAAAACGTCAGCAACTTGTATTTCAATGTTTCCCATATGTATACTTAACCAATGGTGTCAAGAGCATGAGTTTTGATTTGTTTTGCCATTAACAAGACCAGTAACTATTTGATGTTTCAATAAATGGTCTATTTACAAACGTACATCAATCTTATAAGTATTACACAGGGAGACATTATTTTCGCATTGTTCAAACATGACAGTACTAATACTCCGGTTAGCA